ACGAAATACCTTCAATTTCTGTCAAGTCTCATATCTAAGACAAGTCTCCAATAAATCTATTCAAAACAAATTAAAGGATGGCGATTCTATCATAAAATAGCAAGAAGCTTGTTACCGCCATTTTTTTTTCGGCACTGCATCTTTTCAATTAATGATCAGCGTTTTGGGAGCATTCGGAACCGAAATACTTCCCATAAATTTATGAATTTCACCTATTTATATCAGTGCCTCAGAGCCAAAAGGTACCTAACTCCATTTTAGCCATTCCGAGATAGATATCAGGGAAAAACCGTGCGTCGGCCCTGTTGATTTCAGTGTAAACCATAAGTTTTGAAATGCCGTATCCCAGAACCGTCGCACGGTGGATCATGTCAATTAGAAAGGTCGGACATGAAATGTTTGACTAAATCTGCAAATTTTGATGTTTATTTTGTCACATTTTATATTTTAAGGAATGTCTCTAACGGAAAATACCACGAGGAAATCAATGTATGCACTATTACCTCAAATTTTTGTATAAACTGAGTCATGAGCTCTTAAAGTTTCCAAATCATGTCCGACCTCTCCTAATGACTCGATCCACTGAGCGTCGTAAGATAGGGCTACACTGGAAAAAAAAAATAAATAAAAAACACATTGGATCTAGAGTCTAGACTCTTGAAAACATTGACAAGAAAAAATACTTTTGATTCAATCGGATTTTTGCTTGAATCAAAACGAAATCCGCTTAAATTATGAGGCTTGGTTCTTGATTCATAGACTCTCATTGAATCAAGAGTACTTTTTCTTGTCGATGTTTCTAAGAGTCTGGACTCTAGATCCAATGTGTTTTTTTATTCCAGAGTACAAACTTGTCCACACACATGGAAACGTTAATGGAGATTTCGAAGACGCCACCAACTCGATTTTTCCAAAAATGTGAGGTCTGAGGCTCTGATGTATTGACGGCAATTTTTGAGGAACGAAAAATTCTATCCCATATATACACTTCTATCTTTAGATGATTTGATTAAGGACGATAGAAAATTCTTTGAACCAAATCTTGGAAAGTTCCTCTCGGAACTTAATCGCGAAGTAATTTTGACGCGATTAAAAACCACTCCAAGACTCGCGTTTAACTGGCGGGGGGCTTCACGGGGGACGAGGCGGGGGGAGGGGCGCGGCGAGCTAGTGCGAGAATGTTGCGAGCATCNCGATGGGGGGGGAGGGGGCAAGGCGTCGTTTCCATGGCAACCGCTGACATTGACAAATGGATAGCGTGAAAGCAGGCGTTGCCTCGCTCCGTCATTTGTCTTCCTCTCTTCCACTCAGGCCCTGCACTCAACTTGCAAGTTCCATTCGACTTGCAAGCTCGCCTCTTGCGCTCCGCGTCCCATGCACCCCTTTCACGCAACGCTTTTGTTACACAGCTTATTCAGTTTTAGGTAAATTTTCCCTCCCTCGCCCCCTCGGCAGTGCTCCTCCCCCCTCCCCCACCGCCATCCGGTGCCTCTGGCCCTCTGCTTCCAGACGACGCAGCCTCTTGGTTCCCCAAGTCTGCAACTTTGAAATTGTTAAGTTGGAAGAGAGCAGCAGCGAGTAACGCTTTTCTACCCCTAACATTTTTTCCTTCCGTACCCGACAACTCCCCTTTTCCACACGAAGGTGCCGGACTAAAGTTTCGAAGAAATAAAAAAATTTCTGAAGCTTTGAAATTGTTAAGTTAAAAGAGAACAGTAGCGAGTTTTCCCCCTCCAAATGTATTCCTTTCTCTTTCGACAACCCCCTTTTTCCACATGAAGTTGCCGCACTTGAGTTCCGAATAAATTAAAAAATTTCAATTTATCTGCACTTTGAAATTGTTTAGTTAGAAGAGAGTAGTAGTGGGTAACGCTTTTCTCCCCCTAACATTTTTTCCTTACTTACCCAACAAACCCTCTTTTCCACTTGAAGGCGCCGGACTGAAGTTCCGAAGAAATTAAAAATTTTCAGTTTGTCTGCAACTTTGAGTTTGTTCAGTTAAAATAGCAAGTAACGCTTTTCTGCCCCTAACATTTTTTCCTTCCTACCCAACAACCTCCGATTGAATCGAGAGTATTTTTTCTTGTCAATGTTTTCAAGAGTCTGGACTCTAGGTCCAATGTGTTTTTTTCCAGTGAAAGAAAACTGCTGTTGCCTTAAGTGCTGTTTCTTTAATTTTTACGCTTCATGGAGTGATTTTCATATTTTTAAGGCGCCTGTTAATAATAATATCAAGATACTTGTTACGTCATAGATGCATAAGTTAAGTTTCATACATATATGTTAAAGCACTCTTAAATAAATTACCTCCTATTGATCAATGGTTGAATTTTGTTAAGGAAGCAATAAAAAATAACATGAATGCATTGCGATGCTTAAATGAATTCTACCCTTCATTAATTTCATCATGTAATAATCATTCAAAAAACTTTTTGACCGTAAAAGTGTATATTTTAATAAGATAAAATTGTGTTGTCATAGACTCGTGCATTCGTGGCAACAGAGGATCAGTGATGAACTGGCAGCGAATTTCGCTCTCTTTTATTCAAGAAAACTGCAATATTAATAAATAATTAGTTTTCTTTCCGCCAACTTTTCCTCGCTCATGCTACACCACTGCGCTCGGATTTGAACTCATCACAGAAATGTACAATAACTTTTATCCTTCTTCTCCCTCTCCTCTCATTTTCCCGCCTAAGTTTTATTTCACGGCGAGGAACTTTCTCGCGCTACCACGATTTTCTTTTTTTTTTCTCTATTTTTTTAATCATATCCCTGCGCATTTCATTTTTTCCGGCTTCCTTCTCAGGCCTCCCTTTTCTTTAACATCAGTTCAGCGATGCGGTTGTAGAGGGTAACGCAAATACAAAATGCTGACAATTTTCACTGAATGCGCAGATACATGACTGAAGACACAATTAAGAAAAATGGACTGAAGAATAAGATGACTTCTGAGGTATATTTCAGTGGCGTGCCGTGCTTTGCGATACATCGATTTATCTGCCATTTAAACCTATGGAATTAGATCGAAAATCAGACTGTTCGCAACGAACACCTTAATAATCGATTCCTTACCATAGCTTTAAATGAGGAAATATCGATCATCGATCATTCACGCCTCGCCACCGGATTATTTGTAACTATAAGTCATAGTTATATGCACTAAAAGTGTGTATTTTCAGTTAATCTCTGAAAACTACTAGAGTTTATTACTGTTTTATCGGCTTTCGTTTGAATCTGTATATTCTTTTCACCAAAGATTGGATTAGAACCTCCTCAAGTGCCGTTCATTTTTTCCGCCTTTGATTTAAGCATTTAAGCCTTTCAATAATCGCTTTAATTGTAGCGCAGTTTCCATAATAGTCGAGCTTAAATAGATTGAAGCGAAATGTTTTCTTAAAATATTCTTGAAAATAATCTACAGTTGGAACTTATTACACCTTGAAATAATGATTTTTTGAAAAATAATTTTTGGAGAGGTTTACAGGCACAGTGAAAGATTTAAAGCCGCTCAAAGGTTTCCTCGTCCCATCAAATTGCGCCCTTTAAAAGAAACTAGAGTGGCAATTCAGTTTATATTCTAATACTTTCTTTTTGATATTATTTTCAAAGTTCCTAAATGCAGCGATCTCGGATGATCTGATCTGCTTAAAACTGAGCGCAAAAAGTTTGTTTCACAAAAATTTCTCTCCTTCTCCCCTTTTTCTTAAGCTGAAGCAAATGCGCGCTACATACTCAACAATATGAATACTTTTTCGTACTGTTTAATTTTTCGTCTCAAATTTGAGATGAACAACTGTACGACGATTTTAACTTTCATTTTCTTATGAGGACCAAAAGTCTCAGTGGTTCGTTTCACTGAAGAACAATCTTAAATTGATTCTAGCCATACGGCCATACGGGCGAAAAACGGATGATTAGAAATAATTTTACTTACAAAACTTAAAAATTGTAAGGCATAATACATTTTTAAGTTTTGTTTTTGATTAATTCAATGAGAAATTCGCTGTGCGTGAGGATGAGAAAGTGGCTTACTTTAGCCATTGAAAAACATCCTACTTCTTCGGTAAAATATTAAGATAAGAAAATAGTGAAAAACCACTCATTATCGCTTCAGTTCAAAAGCACTTTATAGGTACTGTTCATGTTTCTTGGTGCGATAATGGAGCTTTTATTCTTACCCAAATTCATTGTACTCCCTACCTAACAATTAGCAGAGTTCAGTAGAAACTTACCAGGTCGTACTTGCGAAAAAATTGAGCTAGAAGTAGTTGCAAATTCATCCAGTTGTAAATTTTCTCTTTTCAAAAATTCTAAGTCGAGAAAAAATATTTTTAACGTGAAGAAATTCGTTAAAATTCGTCATTAACATTGATGTTTATGAAAGGAAAGTTTCAAACTTTGGTGCAACTTGGTGAGTTTCTGTTAAACTCGGTTCATACGTCATAAGTCTACATTATTGTGTGTACGTATTTTTTCTATACTCCCGATGAAGATGGATTTATTTTGTTAAAATGCGTCCGATTGCATTAAATGCAAAAATTGCAAAAAAGACTGGATCGCAAAGAAAGTAGGGGGGGGGGGATATCTTATAGATTGGTGTTCGTTTGTAAGACTGGAGACTTTAATCCTGTATCTGAAGTCTCAAGCATTATGTTATGGTTCACCATACTATCAGCGCATATCTTTTTAGTAAATACAAACTTTTCTAGAATAGTCCATATCCAATAGTATATCAAATAGTTTGTTGAACGAATGTTTTGGATCATTGGTCGAAAGTTTTACCTGATATCGTTACATTTCATACATTTGGACTGCGACTCACATGTGTGTCTTTTTTTTTTCTTTTTTCCTTTCGTCCAAACCTGCGTTTCTTATCACTTGCCTCAAAATTCTTAAATAGGTAGAGGAGGATAAAAAATGGGAATGAATGTATAATTTCAATTGACTTGTGATCAGGGAATGGTTACTTTGGATACATAAAAAACAAAGAGACATTATTAAAAAGTTGAATTTTTTATTTTTAATACGTATACTTCACAGTTTTATTTGAAATAACAAAACTTTTGTAGTAGTTATTTTACATAATGACTGATATTTACCATGATTAACGTACACTATACACAAAAACTTGTTACCTACAACAATTATCGTAATACTTATCGTAATATCTCATAGTATCGATTCTAATTATCTGAAACACGCATTTTAGAAAATATTACAAAATACCTACCACAGAAAACAAATAGTAAACTCAATTTCTTATTCCCCTAGTCAATGTTTCCTTTTTTATGCAAAAAAGAATAAAAAGAATAAATAATAATAAAAACAACAACAAAGAAAGGACAATACAATTATCTATTTAAATTAAATAATTACTATCGGTATATTTACAGACATGAAAATAATTTATTTAATAAAATTATAAATATTATTTCCTCAAAAAGTCTTTTACAAAAGAATACAAAACAAATTATGGACATTTCACGGGGAAACGAGCTGTCAGTTTATTTTACAAAAAAGAGGGTGAGAAACGAAAAAAAAGGTAGGGGCAAAATACACATTATTACAGATATTGGTAGATTTTTTCCCTCGTTCGCAAGCTTATAGATTACTAGTACAAAGGTGACTCCTATTATTTTTTGTCATATTTTACTTTTTCACTTTCTTTAAAATTGTGACAGATTTTCAAAAAGACGAAAAGAAAGGGGGGAAAATAATTCCGAATCAGTGATAGAACTTGAGAGAAATCTGCACGATAAAAGCTTAAACTTAACTAATTCTCTTAGCACTCAGCTATCTGAAATGGAAAAATAATAACCACAAATAATAGGTAGTAATGGATATAAAAATGACCAGAAGATGATCAACTGAATAACTTCATTACATTCTTAACCTACATTATGTTGGTCCTAAGTCTTGCATCAAATCTCAAGTCACGACAATAATATTACGGCGTGAAAAATACTCGCTATAAATAATGTATGGTCACACAATTTTGACGTCATGAAATTTCAAATTTTTCCTTTTTTTAGTATCAAGTTTACAAGTTGTAGCTAGACATTACTCTTAAGTTTTATCTCGAAAACAAAAGGTTAGGAGGAACCAAAAAATTCCTGATTCACTTTTCTCTCTTTCTGCGCACTTCGGTTCCGCTTCATGGATAAAACGAACGAGAAGAAAATTAGAAAGAGATACTCTTGGTGAATTTTTGGATTTTGCACGAAATGTGCGGCGTGTAAGTGTATATTCGCAATAATAGAATTGTCACTTGAAGCAAAAGTGTGAGGTAAGATTCAAAGAAGAACATAAGTAGATGATTTCTCCTCTAAACCCTTATTCCACTCTTCGTCTAATGATTTTCCACTTCTTATTCTATAAGCTTGCTAATAAGTCTTTCTCGAGAGAGGTCACCTTTGCGAGAATTCAAAAGAGACACGTGCTGCAAGTACAATGTATAAGATAAGTATATAAATTGATAATGTCAGAGATCAAATAGACGCAACGTGTACCGGTTGAATTCGAAAACAAAACGGTCTACTCACTCACGGTGTAGATTATACATTTGCATTTTTATTTTCAATTTTCTTTATACATCGTCATTTACAAAAATATACAATCTAATATCACTAAAAAAATTCTAGGGAGGAGATCGTCTTCAATATATTAAACTTTGAAAGAACAGAAATTTAAAGGTATACTCATTTTCATTGATTGGGTATTTCTTACATTATAATATGACTGTCTCCCTTTCTAGTGGACCCTGGTCATTTTCAAATTGCTGGGCTTTGTTCATTCATTTATTTCCTTTCTTTTTGGTCCTTCAACAAATCACTGAAACTCCTGTAGTCTTGAAGATTTTGAGCTCTAAAATAATAAGGTCAAAGAATTGTATCATGCATCGTTTGGAGCTATAAGTGGACGGCATCAAATCGAAGTTATCTTTTATAATGCGTTGTAGCGAAGAGGAGTTTAATATTCCTAGCTTAAAGGGGATACATGGATTTTTGATTGGTCCTTCAGTTCTAAAGGGACAGCTATCAGTAACTTTAGAGTGATACAAGCCAATTCCGTTAAAAAAAATTGACCCCTACGAGTGTTATACGTGCATAAAATGTCACACGTAATTCTACGAATTCCTCAATCAGAAATCTAGGTTGAAATTGCTCTTGTCCTAACTCCTCAGTTCAGTCACTCAATTTTACACTCGTTTATGAAAAAATCTCGATATAAATTGAGGATTTATGGAAGGCTGCTAGTGATACTTTATATGCTTGCCACGTTTCTATTATAGATATGTTAAATCTATGGGTAAATTTATTTATTTTGCTGTATGCATGACTTCCAATAATGAGTACTTATTACAGGTGTCGACTGGAGACAAAGCATTTGTACATGAGGTTTCATTCTACGAAAAAGAAGAAGGAAATTATGTAGAGACGAGGCAATTTTCGTAATTCGCATTTTTGATGATGCTACTGATTTCCCAAACTACATGAACCAATCAAAACATTATGTTAATAACTTAAAGTATACGCTAGGTTACCTCATGTTGCGAGATAAATGTGTAGAATGAATTTTTTTATGGAGCTCCAATAACTGTTTCGAATTGTTGATAGGAAGAATTCAGAATGTTGTCAAGGAAGACTTCAAGCGTAAGTGTCTCCATTCCGTCGAAATAGTGACACTACATTCATGATCCCTATATTCCAGGTAACAATTTTGAACAAAAATAAACTGATCACAAATGATTACAAAAGATTTCTTACATTTAAAACCCACATTTTGACACAGCTGACATTGTCTCAGTGAGCTGGCGTCCAGTCGTCTATCAACATAAAAAGTGGCTTCCTACTTATGAAATTTGAAATACAGTAAACCAGATTCAACATGTTTTAAGTCCGAAAAAGTTCTGTGGCGTACAAAAATAATTATTTAGTCACTCCTGAAACTTGAATAATGATACAATGACTTGATAGACACAAGTGTAAGAAATAAACAAAGAAGTCCCCACTTTCCATGTACCTTGCAAAAATATAGCTGCTTATGTGTAGTATTTGTCAGGCATTCCTACCACAACATCAGTCGTTTTCTTACCCTAAACATAGGACTATGAAAGCCTCATATTTTGAGCTACTGCTATGTAGCTTTTCACTGGAGGTACCGTATACTTTTTATTCGTATCATATTATTTTTTGGCTAAATTAGCTGAAAGAATTCTTAGAAATAATTTTACATATAATTCGTATACATTTGTAAGCTCATTCAATGTTTCTGAGTCTTAAGACAATATCTTGAAAATCATTGGTAGACTAAAATTACAGTGGATGATTCAATTCGCCGAGAATTAACCTCAATAATACCAAAAGAGATTCCACCACACAAAATAGTTCAACAAAATCTAACTGTATTGTAAGATTGTAAATAATGTGAGATAATAGGTTAAGATAACTTTGAAAATAGATTCAAAGGCGTTACATGGTCTGTATGAAAGCCCCCTTCCCTCTTAAGGTAATGTCATAGGAGCTGCTCCAAATACTGTTAACTCACCGGTTAAGGTTAATACCTTGCATTATTTTAATAATATATGAAAATACACAGTAGGGGCGTAATTTATAAAGTTCAACGTGCTTCAGGGCGAATTTAAAAATCAATCGTTAGAATTGTGACATCAAAATTCAATCTAGTATCTTTACTTTGGATGGAATTACATATGTATTAGCATTGTTTAAAGTTTTTTTCGGTAAAAAGATTTAAGTTGCAATTGTGTTGCACCAAAATTGAAAAGTATTAGGAGACAAATTAAAGCGTTTTGTTTTGACAAAAATATTCTCTTTTTTCTTTTCCAAAAAATTGTAACAAAAAGGTTCGAATTGTCAAAAAATTGACCAATATTTGCGTCTTCCAGTATGATTTTTCATCTTAAGTAGATTTTAATCCTTTTTTTATCGTTTATCATATATTTTGCCACCATCAAATGCACAATTATCAGTTACGCCCGCTGGCTTCCAAGAGTCATTTTGCGAAGAGAAATATTGATATTATTCATATTTAATTGATAAACTGTTAAAAGGTACAGAAAACATGTTTGTAATTACAACACGGGGGGAAAAGCAAGTGATAAAACGTATAGGGCAATAATTGGTACCGTTTCTTACACAGAAGGACTTGAAAAATATAAAAAAGTGGAGAAATCAATCCTATCAGATTTCGAAGTAACACAACCTTTTTCCAAACCAGCAATAACTGATTCTTAAAATTTTTACACTGAATATTGCAAAGAAGACGTTACTTTTGATCTACACCACAATTTTGCGGTATGCAGATACCTATTTAAACTAGCAAAAAGAGTGACAGTCACTTATGTGCATGAATGTGAATGTAGGTAGTTGAAAACGTATTCATTTCAAAGTATTGGAACGAACTGAGAGTCGAGATACATGGTACAGGCTTGATCATTACGAGTGATAAAATTAGTCCCATAACGTTGTCAACGCAGCGCGACCGCATTGATTCTTCTTTCTCTTGACAATGGCGTTAAAATGTTAACGTATCACCCATATTAGGAGCACCGTTGTGAGGTATTTCCAAATCGTTGGTTCTTATCAGAATATCCTGCGGACAGAAAAAAACGAAAAAACCAATTAGTAAAGATAAAAAGATAAGAGGGATTCAATTTGAGGTTATAGTATAAAAACACACAACCATACGCAGTGCGCAAGTTTTCTCCGGGTAGCGGAAAGTTCGATCTTTATCAGCAGACTTCAGACTTCACAAGCTAAAACAGTAGTTGTAGAAATTAGGTGGGTGATAACTCCTGACACTTTTCTTTCCGAGTTTGTTCGCTATGGAGCAGTGTGCCGAACACATATTTTAGGTCCGACAGAAAGATATAGCTATATAGCTGTACCTGGGCTGGCAAATAAAGCCGCTAGCAACAGGCCGGTAAACTTCGGCAACGTCCTCCAACTTTCAGCATTCAACTACTCCAAAAAGGCTAGCATTTGGAAATATTCATATCTTTTTTTTGTGACAGGCATTGCAGAAACCGCTTTGAGCTATGGTATGATCATCACTGAAAAAAAACACTTTGTACCTAGAGTCCAGACTCTTAAAAACATCGACAAGAAAAAATACTCTTGATTCAATCAGATGTAAGCTTAAAGCAAGAACCAAGCCTCTTAGTTGGAGCGGATTTCCTTTTGATTTAAGCTTAAATCTGATTGAATCAAGAGTTCTTTTTCTTGTCAATGTTTTCAAGAGTCTGGACTCTAGATCCAATGTGTTTTTTTTCCAGTGATCTCATTTTTCCTCACTTTCAGCTGAAGTGTCCTGATCATCGAATCAACCACAATTTTAGTGGAGTTACAGTTTGATTTTAAAGGAACGGCGCTACAAGTACGACAATGGTAAATATTCTCACCGAATACGGATTGATCTACAGATGATGACCATAGTATTGAGCCGGGTAGTGGTATTCGCCGTGGAAAGGCGGGTCTCCTGGCGCCCTGTGAGCGGCCATCATTTGAGCGCTCCCGTCCATCATGTAACCCATAGCTGCGTCCGGACTGTACGCTCCGCTTGGGCCTGCATGCGGTGAAAATACTGTAACAGAAATTAAAATACAAAAAATTAATCTAAAAATCAGTTTTAAAGTATACATGTTCTTTAAATGCGCTTATAGCCAGGTTAAAGCTTCTACATAGAGGCATCAAATTTCATAAAAAAAGAGGTATAGTAATGCAGCATTTAGTACGTTACTTAAAACTTCAACAGCTCTTATATCAAGACTAAATAAGATTTGATCACCCCCTTGAGAGCTATCAACTTGGAGTACCTACATCTCACTTTTTTTTGCATTACATATTATAAAGTTCATTGAGATCTCGGTATGTAGAGCGTACATCGTACAAAATGATGCTTTGATATAATTTTCGAAGAAATAACGTCATATCATATTGTATTACATAAAATCAAAAAAATAAAGCGTAACGCATAACGCGAAGCGTTTTAGGGGGTTGGAGCGCGGAGCGATCAGAGGGCGTGCCCCCTAGTTTCATTGAACAATCATGAATCATCGATAGGTGTTTCGCATCTCATCTTTCCGAGCTACATATTAGACTTTCTACTGCGCCGGGTAAAGCTAAATTTAAGAGGGATCACCGTGGATCGCAACTGTAAAGTACCTTCTTCGGACCTACTCTCCAATCATCCGCGGTGCAGGAATTCGGGATTGGCGGAGCCAATAAAAGTTTGGCAGCGGCGTCTATAAACAACTTGAGCGGGGCCAAGAAACGGAAGGGATGAGAGTGGGTGCGGGATCCCGGGACAAGCACGATAAAGAAATCAGACTTAAATCGACAGAAAGGATCAAGGAAATACATTTCCGGACGGGGCGAGCGGGGGTTGCAGGGCGAGCCGAGAGACGGGCGAAAAGGGCCGCCGAGATAAAAACCACACATATAGCTTCACGGCTCATCTGCCGAGCGAATGGCCAGCAAAATAGTTCCGGTTCACCCTTGCAAAATGTCCAAAAAATGAAGGGATTCCAGAGTCCCTTCGCGGTGGGATCCGGACCGAGGGGCAACCGTGCTACGGTTGCCGGTTTCACCACTCGAGAGGGCGCAGCGGGCGCCCCTCTCTTTTCTGCCGTCCAATATTCGGGCTTTAAGCTCCCATCTAAACGAGGTCTGCTCGCTACATGCTTTATTGCCCCCTTCCTTCCTTCGCGCCCGTTGAATGGAGCTGATCCGTTCTGCTGGCCTTTTCACCCCGCCTGCAAACCTACTGACCGCAGCCCGCGAAACTTCGCCCGCTAGTTATTCTCTCCCTCGAGTTCTACTTCAACTCGCATGATGGAACTTCGTGATAAATGGATGCATCGGGGTAATCTAATTCTTTCCGCATTTTACTTCGACGGCCATGAGATGTATCCACTTGTAGAATTTTCATACAGCGGGAAAATCTCAGATTTTGAAATGGAAATTAAATAGAAAATAGCAAAAATCCATACCTTGCGAATGAGACCGTTCTCGCGTATGTTAAAATAAAGTTTCTTGAAGCTTTGGATGAAACTTGGAGAATCGGTGTGAGTAAATGAGTGTAGAGTAAATTTAACGCATTTTGTGAAAAATGTTTTCATCAAAATAGGGTTACCATTACGGAAAGAATTTTATGCACGCGTGCATAAAATTCGTAAGAATTTTCACGATAATTTTCTTTGGTTCACTCGATTCTGTTCCGGCCGATTTGATACGGGAGATCCTACGTCGTTTAGCGGATGAAAAGTTAGGGAAAAATTGTTTTGATTCCTTCTTAGGACAACAATTATTAGAATTCAGGTAACACATCTAAAAAACTTTCATTGGTACACTCGATTTTGCTCGGACCAATTTTGTACGAAAGATTCAAAGACATTTATCTGGTGAAAAAATCAGGGAAAAATTGCATTGATTCCGTCTTTGGACGATAATATTATCAGAATTCAGGTAAAATACCTGAACAATTTCAAGGAGCGTTCTATAATTTTTCCTAGACACAACACGGACTTTAAGGATACGCAGACAACAATCAGACTAGGGGATGAATAAATTAATGCGAATAAAACGGACCAAGAGGGAGGAGAAAACGGCGACTCCAGGGAGGGATGATGGATAAATAAAAATAAATAAAACTAGAGAAGTAAAAAGTATAAACCTGGTTGACACAACGGAACTTAGGATGGCTTTTAAAATAAATGAAGTTCACTTAGAGTTAAGACTCGGGAACAACGGAGGGGGCGGCGATCGCGAAAGCCGGAGAGAAAAAGCTGATAAATTTGGATTAAAATAAAAGTTGGAAACGGAGAGAGAGCTTTTTTCATTAAGCTCAGTTAGATAACAGAGGTTTCTACTCGGCCAGCGATATAGAGCACAATAAATCACAACCGAGTCTGCTCCGACGGGGCAACTCGGGGATCCGAACGACAGATAGGGAAGATTAGAAATACCTCGTCCCCCTCTCCCCCTCCGCTCCAGTCTTTTCGTCCCTTTCTGTCCCTCTTCCTCTACAGCTGTTTCCCCGTCTTCGTCCGTATCCCCGTCTGCGTATCTGTCAGTTGCCCCTTCTTCTGCCTTAGTCTCAATTTTCTTTCAGACTTGGTCAGAAACTGACCAGAAACACCGAGCGGTGTTTTGACAGCGCGCTCGGGATGAATTTCCATGAAATTCATCCACTTGCTAACTTGAACCCAGGATGCAGGAATGAGAAAGGAAGGGGAAAATGTTGTTAGAGAAGATGAGTCTCTCGAGTGAAACTTAAAATTTTCCAGTTAAAACAACAGTAACTAGAAATTAGTTGCAGTAACTCGTCGTTTCTCGTTTTCCTCACGAAAGAACGTAACTCAATTTCAATGTTACCAAATTTCCCCTCGAAAATTGCATATTACTAAAAAACTCTTGAACATTCCAACCGAAAATTTCACTGAATTTTCCTCAGGTTCCACGCAAAAATCAAATAAATTTTTGCATACAATTTGTCTGGTACATTTTATTAGGATAAAAATTCTATTAGTTTGAGTCAAATTAGTAACCTTGAAATGGAGTTCCAGAGACTGTCTGGTTCAGGAAACAAGAAGGTTTTGTATTGACAACGGGGTTCTTAGAGTTCCCCTGACTAAACAATTTTAATGACGCATCCTCTGGACTTCATGGGCCTACCAACTAATCCCACGGTTCAAAAATTCGTCCCGCCGATTTGGATTTCGAACTTCCGGGCACGGCTGCCGGAATCCCGGCGTCATGAAAGCTCCCCCGCTAGAATAAGCCGTTCACATCTGTAACGTAGAGTGAGTAAAGACCCCCTTCCCCCGCTTTGAGGGGGCATGTTCCCCGGGGGGCTGACTGCGGCTGAAGCGAACCGAAAGACAATCGGCGCCGGTGGATCGGAGAACCGGTTCTGCACGATGTTGATCTTTGACCGGTGACTTCACCTCGTCAATCGGTCCATCCATCGATTGAGAAATGATTCATCAGAATCCACGCTCGGATCCGCGGAATGCGAGTGAAATATCACACGGACCGTTGCCAAGCGAACTTTTGACGGCTCCTCCCGAAGAGACAAACTCGAAAGGAAGCTCCACCCCCTTAAAAATCAGTGAAAATAAAACCAGTTTGAAAATTGGAGATGATCGGAACTAAATCTAAACTCAAAGTGTAAAAATATGAGCCGTTCTGAGCAGGGTGAAGTGGAAAATGGTGCGGAAAGTAGGCATCGCTGTAGAAGCACAACTTAACAATTACCGATCCCGCTCAAGCTCGAAGCTTCGACGGATCATCCTGACTGGGTTCAGAACTTAAAATAAATAACATCATCTCTTTATATGACCAACACTTATACTCACGGTTCATCTATCTCACGACGGACTAACTGTAATTTACGTTGGATTCCCAGGCCAAATCGGCAGGTGGTGGGAAGGAGAGCTTTTCGAACTAAGGAGGAAAATAGCACGGAACGAAAGGATTAGGATGTACAGTTCGGACGAAGTAAGGAATTGTAGGGCAAAAAGAATGCGGAAATCTGTATTTACGGAGGTTCCTTGATAAAAATGGCCTGTTTTCAATGTAATATTTGTATTACATACACATAATGGATCGTATTTGATGGTGGTTCGATGTATCGTTTGGTTTATAACAATAGAACATGTCCTCAAACAAAAATTTTAGGATTTACGTTAGAAAAGCTATAAAGGAGGAAATTTCTAACAATTTCACTATATTATTCGTCATGTGGGACTCGTGAGAATAAAAAAAACTATCACAAAAAGCCAACCCCTTAGATTACTCGATTGACTTCTGAGGCTGTATTTCCGTGTTGAACCAATTTATATCGATACTATTTCACCGGTTCGATGTATCGAATACGATCCATTGGATTGCAGGTTTTTTAAGCAGATGACATTACGGCTCTGAATTGCGGAAAACTCTTTAAAGGCTGAACCATGTGGCAGTCAGGTGGCGTGCCCCCGAGAGTTAAAACCTTCCTCGTTATCAGACGAAAAGGTTTCGCGAAAGAGATTAAAATAAATTACAGCGATGGGCAAAATTAGACAAAGCAGGGTGGGTTGCCGAATTTACAAGAAGGGGAGCAAGGGAGGCGATAAATCTTCCCGGTAGAAAACCAACTTCTCCAAGGAGCCATCTTTCACCTCGGAGGGTTGAAAGGAACTGATAACGTCACTCCGCGCTTGATAACACTTCCTCAGTTCCACCTTTTTTGCAGTCGAAAGTTATTGCGTGTGTGGCCTTTGTGCTCGAAACGCAAACAAAAATAGAACCGGGAAGTCTTCTTCCTACATCACGTGAGAGGACAGAGGAGGCAAGCATTCTACGATGGGTAGGTGTTTTTTCATCAACAAGAATGTTCAATACTATTAGTAGAATATGCTTAAAAATCTAAAAAAAATGGTATGTGTTCTCTCGTGAGTATCGCAAAAAAAATTTTTTGGAGTGTCCTGGTTTCCTAACTTTCTTGGGTAACTTTCCAAAATAATATATGCGCGGTTAAAAGAATATTTATTGGAGTAAAATAATGGTGAATTTGCACGATTTTCACGGGAAAAAGAGGTGCAAATTAAGACCCAACTTGATTAGGAAGCTTAAAATTAAGGCGATACCGCAATAAATTAGATGTCTAACACAAATGTTGCAGTACCACCTCGACTTGAGTTACGTTAGTATCAAAATTGATTAGGAATGCCCATGTCATCCAACAAAATGTGGTATAAAGCTACAATTTTAGGGAATAACCCTAAGTATTTTTTTCCGTGTATCAGCAACACCTGATGGACATGTGCCTTTTTCCCGAATGGCCCTTCAAGTAAAGAAAGGTGATGGTAAAAATCTACGAACTTATAATAAGTTTCTCGTAAAATATTTTATGATGACAAAAAATGGACGATTTTAAAAAAAATGAGCACACCAAAAGAGAAGGAAACCCGAAGAGGAAAATAGCTTTGCAAAACGGACGAGAAAGTTCCTTGGAAGAATGAACGAGAAGACGGATTAGGGATGGATATCTGCTCACATTACAAATCAAAGAAGGGATGCGATCGGGATCGGGGTCGGAGAAAGAGACATTATGCAGATTATTTTGACATTGTTTAATGCGTCTATAATGAAATTACCGGGGCGCCCAGCGGCGGACGACCGGCTCGGCTTCCAAATAATTTCGCAGTTGTAGAGCGCGGTGCCCCCGCGGGGGGTCGAAAAAAAAGAGGCGTTGGGGCTGCTGGGACTGTTTACTGCCTCGTAAACACCCCGTTCTTACGCCGCACCGCGTTTACAATGGGGATTGTATCCGGTGTACAATCTTACATCCCTCATGTTGCCAAATCTTTTAGATTTCTTACCACCTGGGGGTGAATTATTGGATTTGCGACGTTACAATTTTCCTTCCTCCTCCATATTTTAACATGCGAAAAAATTACATTAAATTCAGTTCTGTAAAATATCTGAGAATTCTCTAATATTAAACCTTACTGATGATTTTTGAGGAAAATTAAAAGAAAGAATACCCCAGTTCTTTCAGGAAATTTGCATATTTGGATCCAGATTTTGCTTCGTAAAATAGAAGTTCCCGTTTGGCAAGGGGAAACACCATCTGGCTGTATGTTAAAACTACAGACTTAAGTTGAAGCGCTGGGTGAAAAAAGGGCATTTCTTAGTTACAGTGTCTCGAAATCTCAGCTTAAGTTTTACCCATTATAATGAAAGCAAAAGTATGGAATTTGTTGTAACTTTTACTGAATATTCTTTATGATTTTACAGCGCTGCGTATGTGAAATTTCAGAGAATTGACCCGATGGTTTCCTCTCTAAAATAAGAATTAGCACTAGAGATTCTGAAACATCGCAACAAAAAAATACCCTCTCAGCACCAAACGCCTCAATCGCCCAAAAACTAGATGATGAAAGAATTGATGAAGGAATTAGACGGGTTTAATTAAAATATTGACAGTTAACAATGACAAAACGTTGGCTCTGCTCCTATATCACACCATCGAAGTATCATGTCCTCAAGACAGGGTCCATGAACTTACTATTCTTGATTAGAGCTCGAGGAAAATCCAGGGATCTGGCATCGAAGGGATCAAGGTAAAGGAGTTTTCAGGGACTGCAGTCTGTGTAACAATCAAATTACCCTCTGCCCGTCCCTCCGCAGCCTCCGTTCCTCCGGCCTAATCCTCATCGCGACTTCAATTATTTTTATCGCTTTTATTGTGCTTTATTGCCAGTTTAAAAGTCGCGCGCGCACATCGGCCCTGTTTAATAAAATAAACAAACCCACTTTAACGGGCCGGCCACCGTGATAACGTAAATTACTTTTAAATTACTGGGCCACAACAGGAGGCAGGGCGGGGGAGGGACGTCGGCAGGGTTTTAATTAAAGTGGTCTTTTGAGGTTAGCAGCGACACTTACCGGCTCGGTTTGACTGGTCAATCATTGGTTGAACGATCCTTCGCCTCGCATTGATGAACCTGAAACAAAAAAAGACCCACAACTTCGTTATAGTTCATGTCATGGCTTAAACGTTATCACAAAGTCATGTGAGTTCATTACTATACGTGAATGAATTGAGAGTAAGGGTGAAACTGTCTGTAATGATTGTTCTTTAAATTCTACTACTTTTGACAGTTTAAAGTATAATATACAACAAATTTTATGCGATAAATTCTATCAAAGATTAGGAGTATTTGGTTACGTAATTTCTGTCAAATCTATGGGCATTGTGATAGCCAATTTACAGCATGGTAACGACATCGATGACAATGGTGCGTATCCACATTGTAACGTTTCATAATCTCCGTTTTTTATTTTGTCAATTGAAAAACATTAATGCATTTACATGATAGTGACAAATTTAAAGAAAACAAACTGGCGATTGACTTTTTGTAAAACAAATTAAATAAAACATAAAATGGAGATTTGAAACGTTACTATAGAGACTGACATTTTTTACTTGGTTCTTTTAGCGTGTTTTTCCTAATTATACTCAAGAAATGCACGAACACGTACACCTGAAAATCATTAAATTTTCATTGACTTTAATCGTTATGAAAGACAAAATTATTGCTTTCGGCCGATTGGAAATCGAAGCATCTTTTGAATCCAATAGAAAGAGCGTTGGAAACGTGCCATATGCAATGTTTTTAGTGACACGCGTCAACGCCTACACAGAATGCGAATACAACTATTTCAACGCGTAGGGTATTTTTTTGCCTAGCCGGTCAATTGAAGGCGAACTTCGCTTTACGTTTCGCTCGGGATCACCGATCTTCAACGGTTGAGCAGAAACTGGCGTCTGATCGAAGAGGTCAGCCAATATTGCTCCGTCGGAGGGAAGAGGATTAGGACACGGGGAACGAAACCCAAAAACCGCAGATCGGAGACACAATGAAAGCTCCGAAAAAGGGCCGCCGCGCCCGACGGGGCAGTTAAAAGTGGCGAGGGCCGGAATCCAATCCTCGTTATACGGCCCGGGAGCCGTGGCCGGGGCGGGGGCGGGGGCGGGGGAGGTTAATCAAAAAGAGTATTGTAATAGGGCAGTATATACCTTGCTCACGTTCGGGCTCGAGAGATGAAAAAGGCACCGAAGCCCCAGATTACTCTCGCAATTGTCCCTTCGAATATGATCGCGGGGTTGCCGGACATTTCCGCCTTCCCGAAACCGATGACGTCAGAAGAAATGGACTGCATTTTGCAATTAGGAACTATAAATTCTAGCCCGGTTTAAAAACAACGTATGTGCCATTAATTTCCCTGTGCACAAAGTGTTTTTTCATATGAGTTAGAATGTATAGCTCCGAATTGCACGATGCAGTTCAAATGACAATCAATCTAGGTGCCAATTAAATGCAGAGAATTTGCGCGAAAAAATATTACTGCTATTAACGTGCACGGAAAAAAATGATATTGCTGGTTTAACAATTTTGTAGTTAAAAAAGTGTCCGACATATTTCAATGTAGATTTCATGATAAAAAGTGTTAATTTTAGCACCTCCGTTGTTGAAATAGCTTTCCACGATTGTATTATGTACGTTTGAAACGTGCCGGGCGTATTTTTAAACAATTTATTTGTTAAATCAGCAATCCATTTTTCCGTGTGGTTGAATAGCTCTTTTCACAGTATTTTCGCGGTAAAATTGGAAGACAAAACGGCTAAAAGTGAAACAAGTTTCAGCTGTGTAACGTCACGGGACGGAATTTCTCATTTTAAAACATGTATTTTAGAAAATTAGATCGTGCTGTCATACATCATCCATAAATTGTTCAATTTAGAAACCAAGGATATCCCAGAGCTCAATTTGATCAGCAGTTTCCATTTATAAATGGAATTCATCAAAATCTAGACATTTGCAAATACTTCATTCATTTAAGGCACAACTATGACGTCAAAGCTACTGGCTGACTGGCACCCTATGTTCTCATTAAGTTGCAAATCTAGCGAGCATTATAATTCGAATTTGGAATCCTCACGGAGTTCTACTCGTACGTTGACATTTTATCTCCAAGTGCCTATTTATTTTTCGGATCTGATGAATTTGACAACGGTGGTCTCATCGTATTCACACCTACGCCACCGAATTGGGTGGCCGAGTGCGTGGATAAAACCTCTAAATTAGAGTTTGTATCTTTTGATCGGCAACCGCGTCGTTATTAAAAATTATGGCCGCGACCCCCTCCGATATGATCCCCAAATTGGATTGCCTTTGCACCACCTTGGCATTGCATACTTTACACAAAGCCTCCCCGTAAAGACCATCGTTCAGAAAGGCCGAATCCACAAAAATCGGTTTTGTGCGAGTTGGGTGATGTGATACATTGATTACATTGCCCTTGTCACAAAAATGAGAAGAAAATCTAGGATGGTACAGGGTGCACAGAATTACGACAGTGAGGCAGTGTGATATTAGACTTGTCGCGGACCGATTTACTGTTTTGGTTTCTTAAAACTGCATCGAATCGATCTAATGTTCATTAAAATCCTGACTTCACATTGGTCATTATCATTAGTCCATCTCACTGCTTGTTATTTTTTTTTTTTTTTTTTTTTTTTTTTTTTTTTTTTTTTATTTTTTTTTTACAAAATATGTTATATAATGAAGAGAGTAAAGTCAAATTGATTTTATACTGACATATATTTTGGGTCTTTCGTTAAACAATCTGGTATCATTCCGACTCAATTTGGCGTTAAAAATAAAATATGAATTGAATTGAATAGTTAAATAGACTCAATTTGATTCGAAAGTCTAACTCTGAAATTTTGGAGGGCGCAAACTACCCCAAAAATAATCCCTTTCGAAAATGCTGTCCTTCGCTTTAGAACGTAAACAGACCGGGCTTGGTAAGTGACTCCGAAATTTTTTCAGAAGAAAACTGAGAGCGACGAAGCCTCGAATTACTCCCCCTAGCAACAAGCGTAAGAGCTGATTACAGGACTCAGCAACGCGTGAATTAATGTATTTTATGTATGCGTGCGCGCACTGTATGCATGCATGCGCACTGCGGAGTCAGTTTCATGTTCATGATCGAGGTCTCCATGCATGGCAGCACATGCACCACCGACCCCTTCCGCGCCCTTCCCTCCCTCCCCCGAGCCGGGAAAGGGGTGGGATGTGTTATTCCACCCCCTCGTGTGCGAGCCGAGTGCGCGTGATTAATGTTGTGCAAAGCAAATTGTCTTGAAAACATTATGTCTACGTCTGTAACCCTTTTCGGCTCCGGGCTTCGATTTCGCACCCCTCGCACGAAAGGAAAACTCACTGAGTCGCAACTTTTCATCGGCACTAACGAACGCCACTAAAAATTACTACATATACATACATCCAAGCGGTTTCGTGGAGAAAATACGGAGAAAGGAGTGAATTTGACTCTATACAACGGACCTCAACTCAAAATTAGTGGTGTTGGAGCAACAAGAAATCATCACTAAAAAAAAAAAGCATCACAATCCCAACTATATTCTTGGCTGATTTTGACGCCAGATGTAAGATTAATTGCACAAGCCAGAGGTATGGTCGATTCAACCACACCTTCGGCAAGCTCAACCGTATCATTGACTGGTACAACTACTCATATTATATGGCGCCAAAATCAGTCAAGAGTAAAGTTGGGATCGCGATACTTTTTTTCGAAATACGTTGATTTGACTCAAAATTATGTAGTTTGGGCACAATCTGTACTGATTTAACCTCATTTTTGGCAATTTTATTCAACGTTGTTGTTAAAAAAATTGCCGAAAAAATTGGTAAAATATGCTGCATTGCATCTTTCGGTGTCTTTTGGGCATATCTAACTGAAAATTTTACCGATCTCCTGACAGTGAATGCACACGCGAGAATTAGCAAAACTATAGAGAGAAATTCCACGGTGATGATTTTTTTGAAAATTTTAATTGTTTGATCCTATTTTTAAAACCTTGCAATGATGTTACGTTCTTTTTTATACACTGTGGAAAAAACACATTGGATCTAGAGTCCAGACCCTTAAAACATTGACGAGAAAAAGGACTCTTGATTCAATCAGATTTAAGCTTAAATCAAGAACCTAGCCTCTTAATTTGAGCGGATTTCCTTTTGATTTAAGCTTAAATCTGATCGAATCAAGAGTCCTTTTTCTTGTCAATGTTTTCAAGAGTCTGGACTCTAGATCCAATGTGTTTTTTTTCCAGCGTATGATTTTTTTTTTTAATGTAAGTTGTTTAATTCTATTTTTAATACTTAGGGATGATGTTACGTTTTTTTGTAAACAGGGAGGATGCTTTCAAGAACACCTTTTCCCCGTTAATTCCCTCCCCATATTCTCCTCCCACTCGCTGTGGCTTGGCGTGAGCGCACGGCTGACACCAGGTCCTCGGGCGAGTGGTCGTTGTGGCGCGGATGCTGCGAAGTGCACCCGACAAATGCACGGGGAGCCCGGGCGCGGAAGGTGTTAGGGGCGCAGAAGGGCTGCTGGAGTAGGGTGGCAGGAGCGGAGGGGCTTTGTTCTCGGGGAAAATAATGAAGAAAGTAATCTCTAATAATCACATTAGAGGGAAATAAATCCAGGGAGAGGGTCGTCACGTCGCGTCGAGGCGCGCCAAGTGAGAAGTGAGATATTACGAGTTGTAATAAGTAACACCATGTGTTTTAATATGTTTGACCCGCTGGCTGAGTGACACGGCTACCAGCTCCAAAAGAATAACCTTTGGCCCCTCCGTCGTCGCCGCCCGGCGCCGCGCCGCGGCGCCCTGCGTCAGCTGATGTGAATGTTAATCTTAGCATCAGATGTTCCTAATGGCTCTTTTCGCAGTTTTCACGGCTTCCCCGAGGAAGCGCAGCTCCGAGAGCCTGGAACACTCCGTGTGCAAGCTTCCGTTTCCTGCGGAGCCGGGAGCCTCGCCGCTTCCGTCCTGGACAGATTTCCAATGTTTATGCCCCCTGTAAGCCTCCCCATGGTCCCCTTTTGCTTTCAAATGCACTGATAAAAAAAAAAAAAA